TTTCCAGCCTTCGAAAGACTGAATGCACACCTTATCAACCACACCAACCAAGGACATCATGAGCCGAACAAGAGATGCCGAGGATTTGGCCAAGTTTCTGCGGAAGAACGTGCTGACAGAGAACAAGAACACGCTGAGGCGGCAGAGCAACGAACCCAGCCTACTTCACTCAACGAACACATCCCTGCCTGTCATTCCCTGGCTTCTACCAAATTCACCGTCGAAACAGACCGTAGACTGACTTCTAAGGGCTCCATCACAAATCCGCGGAACAGGTTGTGTCTCGCTAGTCTCCGCCCATAGCTCGACTTCGCGCCAACTGAGCATCGCCTTCGGCACCCCCTACTATACTCCCTTGCCGACCGACGCTGTTTCGGAAGCACATCGTTCCTGTCCGGCCGAGAAAGCAGGATCGCGAAGCGCAAGACCACTGACGAGAAAGCTGTCGAGGGCCCCGTCAAAACAATCATGGATGAGCTCAAAAAGGCAAAAGAAGTCCAAAGTGCGGTCGATTTAGTCAACGGACTTGTCTTCGAGAACCACCCGCATGCGCTCAGCGACGCAGCGGCGAAGGTCGTCGAACGCAAATCCCATCGACACCTCCCTCCACAACGCACAATAGCAAGTCGATCTCAAACAGTTACGGGCCGTTAGATTTGCGTCTGCCGTATCGAAGACGATGACGACTCGAGCAGCTCTTCGATGCTCTATATTCCCGAGTATAAATCACTGCGTCAACTTCCTGCGCACCACCTGCTCAACTTCCTGCGCACCACCTGCGCACCACCTGTGCTCGACGAACACACACGAGGAAGTGGTAGACCGGAAGACAACATCAACATCAATTGACCCAGACGCACGGTTTCAGTATCACGCGGAGAGGCTCACCGCAGCCGCCATCACACGCAGACCTGTCACTAATGATCGAAGGCTTGCTCGAGCACGGTCTATTGACGACGGTTGAGGCGATCGTGTTCGTGAGGCTTGACTGGCGCGAGTCTGAGACGCTTCCCTTTCATCTGGCGGAGCCTTCTGCGGAGGTGGAAGCCCACTTCAAGCATGCCGACCTCCGTACGGCAGTTGCTCAATACTTGACCCTTGGTTTGATTGCTCTCGGCGTACCAGGTGAGAGGCATGAATGCCGCCATCCCCCATAGCATGAGCAAGCCAGCACAATTGTACGGTACGAAACGCCCCCTCCCGCAAACAGCTGAAATACAAGCGTGGATCTTTGGGCGAGTACTGGCAAGGCTCGATATCACTTCCTAGAATGCAGGTAGATGGCTTTAAATTCCTGAAGGTGTAAGTGAACCGCTGTCTTACAAACCGCTCCCTGTCAACTGCAGAGTTCGCCCTTCAATTTTTCCGGAACAGCCTCTTTCGCAACGCATGAAGGGTACACTTTAATAGTTGACGTCTCTGTGGCTTTCTCATGGATCGCAATGCAAAACTTGCCTCCGTTCTCCCGGACGGCCTCGCGTAGTTGTGCCAAGACCGTAGCCAACTTGCGAAGGTCGAGTAGGTGCGTTTCCTCCCAACCCGCAAACAGAGCCGCCGTGTCGGTGATTCTCAGGTTTTCAAAGGTTCCATTTGTGTGCTGTCCGAGGATAAGCCAGGGCGTTCTGCCGAACCAAAGCTGCGGCATGTATGCCCCCGGGCTCTTGCGTCTGGCTGCTGTCTTGATTTCTGCGGCATTCGCTTGAGCCATCGGCACTCGTTGTGTTGGCTGTTGGCTGGCAGAAGCATTTCTTCCTTGGCTATCATCGGCCTGCAATCGACTCATTGCGCGTGCCAAAGATTGTGAAGTACCGCCCTCCTCGACCTCCCGCTGGTAGCATGCATCTACCTCAAAACGCACGGCACACGTGAGATCTCGCAGCTGGTATCGAAGAGCCCGGTGATGCGCCGTGCTGTGTTCTAGCCCAGGCGGGTATCGAGTGAGGGTGCGCTCGAAATTCCTGCCCCACCCAGAATTCTGCGAACCGCCGGTCAGCTTGCTGACGGTCTTCTCGCAACGCTCGATAATCAGGGTGCGGTGAATCAGGTATAGATTGAATCGAAAGCTGTCTTGTCGCCGCCCTCGGCAGAAGTCAAGAAGCTTTCTGAGACTATTTCGAATCACCAAGATGTCGACTTCGTCAAAGCGGAATGACGGGTTCATCGATGCTGTGGCGCGAAACAGCGGCTCAAAGGAACATTCAGGATTACGCGCCGTGCTGTCATTCATCGAGCGCGTAGCCTGGTCTTCAGGCACCGTAATCGGTAAGGAAACCTCCTGCAAGACCGCCGCAAAGCCTACTGATAGTCAGTCATGTAGTATTGTCCCCAGGTACTTGAGGCCCACCGTGCATGTGGATTTTCAGATTCTGGCTAGCTTTTCAATTATAGATACAAACCAGCTCGGAATCTGCTGCGCTGGATACCATGGAGTCCGATGGCTCCACAGGATGCTTGACACGGTGAATCACCCGGCTGTCCATCACGGTCTCCCACATCCACGCGTCACGCCCGGGGGAAGTGGGATCCAGGTGGGGTTTCCCCGTCTCTCCTTTCCGTGGGTGTTCGTTCTTCCCCATCTGATGGTAACCCGGATCTATGGGCAGAAAAGACTGTGGTTTGCTGGGTGAAAACTACACCATGCGCGATAACAATGCAGCTAGAGTCGTGAGCCAGGTGTGGTGAGGATGGACATCGTATGTGAAAGATCTGAGGATGGCAGCGCGAAACGAACGGTCGCCGCCCAGATTTAGGCGTTGCTGCTTTGCATACCAAGAGTCGGTACTCGAATTGTCTAGTTCGCTGGCGTCATCTGGCTTTGAAATCGGGCCTGTGAGGTCGGCCTCCTACGGCACCCTGCAGCATAGTAAGAGGCCAATGTACAGTATGCCACCAGCGTCATTTCCATTGGATTTTAATGCTTGGTAAAGCAGGCTTAAGCATGCAAAGCGCCTTGGAAGAGCACGTCCCTCCGCTCTATTGGTATCTAGTCCCTGGTGCAGATGCCTTTAGGTTCCATTGTCGTTCGGTAGATGCATTCTTGCCAAAGTCTCATCCCGGTACATGAAGGAGCATTTGTCAAGGTCGGTATACTCCATACGCAGATGCTGGAGGAGTAGACACGAGCAAAATTGAGACACCAGTGATCAGTAAGCAAAGCACCGTAAATGCTGGATCGTGCCTTGGCACAGTTGCTTAGTCAGCTGGGGCCATTCGGCAAACAGCGATGGTCAGGTTCGATCGAAATGCCTTAATATACGTGTCCTGTCGCTATAGGGCGGGGGTTGATTCTGTATCCGGCTATCAATACTCGTTCGTACATATGGTTTAAACAATTTTGCCGCCGTTCTGCCTCGTCGGATTCGTAGAGGCAACAACCCAAGGCCAAGTAGACTTCATGCTAGATGTGGTCCGTTGCTGTGATCATTACGGAATTAGCAGAGGGCTTCGTCTGGAACTTACGATGGTTGTATTGGCAAGTTGAACTCTTGGCCATGTATTTGCGGGCAGTGTCCCACTGGCCTGGGCAACTCGACTGGCTGAAGCCCAGCGTGTTGAGGTCGGGGTACCTCTGCTTAGATAATCGACCAAATGTGCCACAGGTACTTGGTAGGGGTTTTTACTTTGGCCTGATACGATAGTAGTCAATTGGCATGAGGGACGCGAATGGAGCCCGATGAGCCACTGAGATAATTTTGTGAAGAATAGAGCCCGCGTTTGGCCGCATCGGTCGAAATGAGGATCACGGATACATGACAAACAACCTAACAGAGAAACGTCTCCTCAAACGGTTGGAAGGCGGGCGGGCAGAAAAGCACGGCTGAGAGCGGCAGAAAATCAATGTCAGGGGGGCAGAATCCGGAATTGGGAAGGCGGATAGGTCTAGACGGCCGGCAGAAAAGCGCGGCAGAATCCTAAGAAAGAACGGCAGAAAGAAGAGTTCGAGATGGCAGAATAAAACCGGGGCGGCAGAATGCATCGAAGCTCGCTGATAGGTGCAGTAACCCATGCAGATAGGAGGATCAAACTGGGTATGGCAGAAACGCTGAATTGGGAATCAGATCCGCGGGGACGGCAGAAACATAAGTGGGGTCGAAGTGCTTTGGGGGAAACTGAGCGCCCGTCAAGGTTGACAAAGCCCTTCCCGTCCCTGGTAATGCAAGTTCGGACAATGCGAAATGATTGCGATGACGGCTTTGGCGGACTTTCGAGAGAACTCTTACATGCGCGTTGCATACCGTGTAGGCCTCAAGGTTTGAAAGCCGTGAGGGTAGACGGGACTAGATAGCCCAGGGATTGCTACTTAGCGATGCCCTCTTCTGTCTATGCTTCACACTCTAGTGAGATGGTGCAGGGTACTAGGACGGCATCAATCTCTGCAGAATCCGATACTCATTGATTGCTAGTGTTTCATCGAAGAGTCGATCCTGTATAGTGCTTCCTTTGAGGCCTTGATTACTCAGCTACTGTCGAACCTCACGCAGAACAACCAACATACCTTCACTTGCGCAGTCCTCCAGAACCCGAAATAGACCCCGTATACTTTCGACCGCCTCTTTTAGCTGGAGCTCGTTACGAGCAAGTCGTAAGATAAGTCCTTGATGGTTTGGCTGTTCCTTAACGCAAACTACCGCAATCTCCGCGAATCCTTCGGACCTATGAGCCAGAAAAGCCACATGGTCGGCCAGTTGAATCTCGTCTTCGAGTCGCAGAATACGGTTCGAGAATTGGGAACCTCACCAGTATCGATGCCGGGCGTTGACTGCCTGGCGCGGGGGGGGGGAGGGGGGAAGGGGGTTGCCTCCGTTTTGATAGTTGGACGATGGCCCGATGGAATTCAATCTCATCGTTGATTGTCCATAACAACGGCATTCTAGAGACTAACTTTCCAGCCACATGATCCGGGCACAGGTGAGTCAACTGAGTTTTGTCTCTACTTGAACGTTGGGGAGTTCCACTAAAAGCTAAATTAGCGACGTCAGTAAAGGATTGAGAATCGAATAGCTGGCCTTGGGCAAATTGACGTTGGATCGATGGGAGACCAGACAACCAAGGCATAATTACCCTGTTCAGCTGGAATCGACAACGGATACGACGCACCCCCAAGGCCTGTTAAATCAGGCCGCGGGAGGTGTTGCAGCCGGCATCCCTTTGCGTTGCATAGTGAAATCGCCGAGGAGGACCATGGTTGGAAGGCAGCTAGGCGTTTCGACCAAGATAGCGACATTCTCCGCATTTCAAGGTGCCAGACCCAAGTGGCACCCGACCGGCTGAAAAGCCAGAGAGCCTCCCGCATGTGCTTTGCCTACGTAACATAGGCACGTAAATTCGTATTTACTAACCTGATATGAGCCCGCAGCGATGCTGTTGGCTGACATCTCAGCTGCGGTACCGGTGGAGAGCCTGCCCGTAATCACCATGGCGTTCGCATGACAACGCCGAATGCAACAGGACAAAGGCTGTTGGCTGATTTCATATCAACCAACACACCAATGCAAGTGCAGCCCCCTGGTAGAATGAGGCAGTTGCGTTTGCATGTGCATGTTTGCAGCCGGTGAGAGGGTTGCGTTTGCAACGG